GAGGTTTCAATTATCCTGATATCTGTTGGGAGGCAAATTCTACCAAATATGGCCCTTCCAAGAAATTACTGGCTTGTGTGGCTGATAATTTTCTCCTACAAAAAGTGGAGAAAGAATCTAGATGATTTGCTATCCCTGACTTGATTCTGACAAACAGAGATGACTTGGTGGGGGAAGTTGCAGTAAGGGGAACTCTAGGCGAGAGTGACCCTGTCCTTCTAGAATTCTTGATTTCAAAGGAAACAAAAGCAGAGTGTAGCTGCACACTTCTGCTGGATTTTAAAAGGGCCAATTTTAATAAACTCAGAACAAAGATAAGTAAGGTCCCCTGGCAGGAGATCCTAACAAGAAAAGGAGTCCAAGAAGGGTGGGAGCTTCTAAAAAAACCAATTCTGAAGGCACAACTACAAACAATCCTAAAAAGAAAAAAAGGTGGTAAGTGGGGGAAAAAGGCCAGTGTGGCTTCACAAAAAGCTCAGGGAGGGCCTAAAATCCAAACAAGAAATGTACAGGAAGTGGAAAGAAGGCCAGGCCACCAAGGATGAGTACAGACAAGTAACAAGGACATGCAAGGATGGCATTAGGAGGGCAAAAGGTGAGAATGAGACACTAAAAGCAATAAAAAAGCATTCTTCAGGTATGTGAGTAGCAAAAGACAAACAAAAGACATAGTGGCACAGCTTCGCAATGGAGATGGGAGAATGATAATAGAGGACAAAGAAAAGGCAGAGGTGCTCAATTCCTATTTTAGTTCGGTCTTTTCTTATAAGACAGACAATAAACTTCCAAACAAATTGGAAGTGCAAGTCAGGGGGACAGGATTGCAGCTGGAGACAGATAAACAAATAGTCAAGGAATACCTTACCACCTTGAACGAGTTCAAATCTCCAGAGCCGGATGAACTGCATCTGAGAGTATTGAAATAACTGGTTGAAGAACTCTCAGAACTGCTACCCTGTTTCATTGAAAATAAGACCTAACCTGAAAATAAGCCTAGTATGATTTTTCAGGATGTTCATAATATAAGCCCTACCCCAAAAATAAGCCCTAGTTAAGTGAAATCCCGCCCTCCACCACTGCGCAGCATTGTGCAGCAACCAGAAGATGACATGACTGTAAAATAAAACATCCCCTGAAAATAAGACTAATGCGTTTTGGAGCAAAATTAATACAAGACACTGTCTTATTTTCGGGGAAACACGGTATCCATTATTTTCTTGAAATTATGGGAAACGGGGAGGTGCCAGAGGATTAGAGGAGGGCTAATGTCGTCCCTATATTCAAAAACGGCATAAAAGAGGAACCTGGGAACTAAAGGCAGTCAGCCTGACATCAATCCAAGACAAAATTCTGAAACAGATCGTAAAGTGGTCATTGTGCAAGCACCTAGAAGACAATGCAGTAATAACTAAATGCCAACACAAATCCTGCCAAACTAATTTGATCTCGTTTTTTGATCAGGTAACCTCCCTGATAGAGGGAATGCTGTAGACATAGTAAATCTTGACTTCAGCAAAGCTTTTGACAAAGTGCCCCATGATATCCTGATTAGCAAGCTAACTAGGTATGGGGTGGATAGATCAAATGTTAGGCGGATACACAATTGGCTACAGAATCGTATTCAGAGGGTGATGATTAATGGGTCCATCTCTAACTGGGAGGAGTACTCCAAGGCTCAGTCCTGGGTGCGGTGCTCTTCAGTATTTTTATTAATAATTTAGATGAGGGAGTGCAGGTAATGCTTGTCAAATCTGCAGATGATACAAAATTGATACAAAATACCTTAGAACAATGGTCCCCAACCTTTTTGTCACCGTGGACTGGTTGAGGGAGGATGGGGCCCATGTGCAGGAAGGCAGGGCACCACCCGCGCTCATGCACCTGTATGTAGGGGCAGGAGGTGCTCGTGCGGACACGCATGCACATGCATGAAGGGGCAGGGATGCTTGCGGGGCATTTGCACACTTGCACATATGCATGAAGGACGGGGGTGCTCACGCAGACATGCACACATGTGCAAAGGGGCTAGATGGGGGGGGAGTGCATGTGGGGATGGAAGATCTGTCTCCATGGGGGTTGGAGATCCCTGCCCTAGAAGACAGAAACAAAATTCTAAATGACCTTGATAAGATGGGAGTACAGGGCCAAAAGCAACAAAATGAAATTCAACAGGGTTAAGCAAAAAGTACAGCACCTCAGAAAAAGAAACCAATTGCACAGTTAGGGGATAGCTGGCTCAGGAAAACAATGAGGGAAAAGATCTCTCACAAGTGATATAAGCCAACAGTGTGATGTGGCTACAAAAAAGGCAAATGCTATTTTAGGCTGCATTAATAGAAAAAGAGTTTCCAAATCCCGCAAGGTGCTAATCGATCTCTATTCAGCACTGGTTAGGCCTCACCACACTTCAAGAAGGGTGCTAACAAATTGGAACAAGTTTAGAGGAGGGTGACAAGGATGATGATGGGCCTCGAAACCAAGCCTTATGAGGAAAGACTGAAAGAATTGGGCATGTTAAGCCTTGAGAAAGGAAGACTGAGGGGAGATATGATTGTTGTTTGTTGTTTTTTAGTCGTTAAGCCATGTCTGCCTCTTCGTGATCCTATGAACCAGAGCACACCAGGCCCTCCTGTCTTCCACTGCCTCCCGGAGTTGGGTCAAATTCAGTGCTTCAGTGGCACTGTGCATCTATCTCGTTCTCTGTCGTCCCCTTCTCCTCTTGCTTTCACACTTTCCCAACATCAGAGTCTTTTCCAGGGAGTCTTCTCTTGAGATGGCCAAAGTATTGGAGCCTCAGCTTCAAGATCTGTCCTTCCAGTGAGCACTCAGGGTTGATTTCCTTCAGAATGGATAGGTTTGTTCTCCTTGCAGTCCAGGGGACTCTCAAGAGCCTCCTCCAGCACCACAATTCAAAAGCATCAATTCTTCGGCAGTGTAGCTCTCACTTCAATACATCACTACTGGAAAAACCATAGCTTTGACTAGGCGGACTTTTGTTGGCAAGATTGATGTCTCTGCTTTTTAAGATGCTGTCTTGGTTTGTCATCGCTTTCCTCCCAAGAAACAGGCGTCTTTTAATTTTGTGGCTGCTGTCACCATCTGCAGTGATCATGGAGCCCAGGAAGGTAAAATCTGTCACTGCCTCCATATCTTCCCCTTCTTTTTTTCAAGAGGTGATGGGGCCAGTGGCCATGATCTTAGTTTTTTTGATGTTCAGCTTCAGACCATTTTTTGCGCTCTCCTCTCCTCTTCCTCACTTTCTGCCACCAGAGTGGTATCATCTGCATATTTGAAGTTGTTGATATTTCTTCCAGCTATCTTAATTCCGGCTTGGGATTCATCCAGTCCAGCCTTTCACATGATGTATGATAGCACTTTTCAAAGATTTGAAAGGCTGTCATACAGAGGATGTTCTTGATCATCCCAGAGTGCAGGACATGCAACAATGGGCTCAAGTTAAAGGAAGCCAGATTTTGGTTGAGTATCAGGAAAAACGTCCTGTTAGAGCAGTACAACAGTGGAACCAGTTGCCTCGGGAGTTGGTGAGTGTTCCAACACTGGAGGCATTCAAGAAAACCTTGGATAAGCACCTGGCAGATATGTTTTGATTGTATTCCTGCATTGAGCAGGGGGTTGGACTTGATGGCCTTGTAGGACCCTTCCAACTTCACTTTTCTATGATTCTATTATCTGAAATGAAATAATGTCTCCATCAAGGATCCCTCTAAGGCACAGGCTGTGCATATGCCCATGTGATTCTGGCTCCCTCTCTGCAGCTTTCCTCCTCCGCACAGCCCCTTTGATTTCATTTGTGACAGAACCCTGCACGCATGTGGGGGGGCGGAGTCTTGCGAGCTTGCAGGGGAGAATTCACATGTGAGAGAAGTGGAGCCCCACCCAGCGAGGCCAAAAATGAGAGAGTATGCTGGTCTCCATTAAAATAAGCATGCTTAAATGAATCACTTCATTTGTTTAAAATTTGTGTAAATAATACGCTGCTTTTTAAAAAGAATTTTCCCGTGCATAAAATAGAAAAATTGTTGGTAACAGTTACAATTCAGATTTTACTACAGATGTATAAGAACTTTCACATAGGGACGTGGTGGCACTGCAGGTTAAACCGCAGAAGCCTCTGTGCTGCAAGGTCAGAAGACCAAGCAGTCGTTAAGATCGAATCCACGCAACGGAGTGAGCTCCCGTCGCTTGTCCCAGCTCCTGCCAATCTAGCAGTTCGAAAGCATGTAAATGCAAGTAAATAAATAGATACCACCATGGTGGGAAAGAAACGGCATTCCGTATCTAGTTGTGCTGGCCATGTGACCACGGGAACTGTCTATGGACAAACGCTGGCTCTATGGCTTGGAAACGGGAATGAGCACCGCGCCCTAGAGTCGGACACGACTGGACTAAATGTCAAGGAGAACCTTTAACTTTATAAGAACTTTCACAGCACTGAAGTTACTCTTTCACAGTAAACTTCCTTTTGTTCAATCCATTGAGAAACCTTGTGATTTAAGCAAAATTTGAATTTTGAATTGGGCAGGCTAAATACATGATTGAAATACTGGTCTGTGCATGCAGACCCCTACTCCCTCTGTCTCAAGTACATGCTCGCTCTATGCTACCTATTCTGAGCCTCACATGGGGTGAATTCTACTTGCACTTACCTGTACACAGGTAGACCTTTTCAGAGTAATCAGGCATCATGATTTATCATGGTCCCAACCACATGGCATATTATATTTAAGTGAATTAAATTAAACAGTCCCTGTTTGAACATAGCTGCTCAGCACAGTAAAGACCTGAATTGAGAGAAAGGAGCAGGGGGTGATATGCATTAGGCCAGAAAATGTGGGATTTGCACAGACAGGCCCATACACTCTCCTCCTTTGATTGACCTGGTTACCAAAACAGGGCTGAAATCATCCTACCAATTTGCAATATTCTGAAAATATGCCACCTTTAGAAATGATTCAATTTCCCTTTTGTTCCATACTTACCACTAAGTAAAGGTTTATTAAGCATGTAGAGAATGGGTAGATTGTCTATCTCTGCTATTCGCTGGTATACTGCCCTGGATAGGTGATCGCCATGGTATAAGCTTCCCAAGATTATGCTGGAGAAGTAAATTGGCTCCACAAAGAGACTAAGCAACGCTCCTTGAATACCAAGCACATTCCATCTAAACGAACAAATGAGTACTTGAATTAAAAACATAATCTCTGCCAGCAAGAATGACAAACATTAGGATTGTTCACAAGAGAGTAGAGAACAAGTCATTTTTTGGGGAGGGGTTCCCAATTCCATATACATCTACTTCCATCTGGTATATTTAAAACAGGCAATTTCCAAGGGTGAAGGAAGGGACTGGGCTCGCACTCCAGATCTCACCAAGAGCTACACACACACTGTCACTCAATTTTGCTACCAAATTTCAGCAGCACAAAGGAAATAAACGTATACACTTTAGTGTTATTATTATTTAGTCACTTTGTTTTTACCTTATCTTTCTCTCAAAATAGAACCTAAAGTGACTTACAAATTACTAAAACAGATATAAGACTAAAATCACTAAGCGTACATCAAGATTAAAAAAGAATTAATTAGTTAAAATTAGATCATTAAATCATAAAGAATATTCTCCCTCCCCATAAAACTCATTTCTGATCCAAGTGTCCAATTTCTAAAGGCCTGCTGGAAAAGACAGATTTTTTGTGTCTTGGTAAAACAATAGGTGAGATGCCCACTTCGCTTCGCTTGGGAAAGAGTTCCATAACCTGAAAGGAGTGTGGTGAGCAAGTGTTTGTGAGTTCCCTGCCGAGAAAGCTATCTCTTATCCAGGGCTGAAGTGCTGGAATGTCTGAAGGAGTTTACAATTCAGAACATAAAGAGCTTATTACCAGGACTCATTACTGGGAAATCAGCTTTCTTTTTTTAAAATTTTATTTGAATTCAAACATACAAAAAACAGAAAGAAAAAAGAAAAAAAGAGAATAATAAAGAAAAAACCTAAACTAAACCCTCTACTAAGCTAAACCCTCCCACCTTTGGAGTCAGAGACTCTAGCCTCGTTACCCCTCCGCTCTCCCCGGTTTCCGGTTGCCCTACACTCCTGTCTTCTGGGCCCAAGAGTATACAGTGGTGCCCCGCATAGCGACGTTAATCCGGATTAACGTTGCTATACGGAAACATCGCTAAACGGAACTAAAAATCCCATAGGAACGCATTGAAACCCCTTCAATGCGTTCCTATGGGGCGAAAACTCACAGTTCAGCGAAGATCCTCCATAGCGCCATCATTTTCGCCGCGAGGAAACCGCGCGAAAATGTTTGCAGTGGCCATTTTGGGCACCCGGCGGCCATTTTGGAACCGCCGATCAGCTGTTCTAAAAACATCGCAATGCGATGTTTTTCCTATTTAAACATCGCAATGCGATCGTTTTTTCGATCGCAAAATCCGCATTGCTATGCGGATTCGTTGTTAAACGGTGCACTCGTTATGCGAGGCACCACTGTATTAGTTCCCAGCTTTGTTTTACATAGTCTCTTGGTTGTTCCCGTAGTGCTTTCTTCACGGTTTCTGCTGCTGTTGTCGCTTCAGCCTTCTGCCGTGGAGGTTTAGCAAACAGAAGAGCTTGGGACCGTACTTCCACTTTTTGCTTCTATTAAGGCGGTAACCCACAATTTCTGGATCCTGTGTCCAGTCTCGATCCTGTATCCCCAGTCTGAACTTACAGAGAATCTATTGAGAATGGAGCAATCTATTTTAAGTATTGATGACACACCTGATCAAATCCTTACCACAGTGACTGATCGTAGAATGAAGAGAAAGAAAAGTGAAACCTTGGATCACTCACTAAAGGACAAGTTCCTGAGTAGTAAGAGTGACAATAAAACTCTCAGAAGAAGGAGACAAACCAAGGTGACAGACTACATCTGGAGGTAAAAATCATATTGCTCAGGAAGGATAAGTAATTCATCCATTGATCTATCAAATTCGATTGCTGAGCAGGGGCACCTCCTGGATCTCTGTCACTTGAACCAGCCTCCTAAGCGAGGACTTAAGCAAGCTGCGAACGGAATATTTTACAACTCCGGTATGCAATAGGATCATTCCTGCAGTCACTCCTGTAGACATGTCTGCCAAACACAATAATACTCAACCTGAATATCCAATAAAGTTCCCCACATTTGAGGAGAGCATAGATAAGGAGTTAAAGGACCTGAAGACCACATCTAACTATGCCCAATGTAATCAAGTCCCAATTCCACCAGAAGGAGGCACTTTTTCACCTCCAAACACCCTACTGGAAATTAGGGACTCACTAAAGGCCCATTGGGCGGTTGATTGATCTAATGGAGGAAAGGGTTATTCCTTCTTTAGCCACCACCCTCGACCATACAGGAACATCTAATCTCCCACTGTAGGCAGAAGCAGATGAAAACTTTAATTTATCACCTAATACCATCCAGAAAATCATCAGCCTCACTTATGAAGAGCTCCTTTCCTGTGTCTCTCTAATAATCCAAGGGCAAGGCCTTGCCCATCAGTCAGAACTCAGATAAAATGAATCCTTACCGACTCAAACCCCCACACAAGAAATCACTCCAAATAATATCAAAAGAAACCCCAGCAAGGAACTGGCGAAGCCCAAATCAAAAAAGGACACCAAAGTTCCAAATAAACAAAGGACAACTAACTCTAAAAAATTCACAACACAATCAATCAGCAAGCTAAACAAGACCAATGAAAGCAAGAAGGGTTCCAAACATCCTACCAAAAAGGGGCAGAAAATGCAGTTCAAGCCCTTCTCTCAAAAGTTAGATGCTTTGCAACATGACCTACAAAATAGAAATGAGCAGGTCGTCGTCAGGAAAGATGGCCAACAATGTAGTAGTAGATGACATCGGAAGGCAAATCCCAGTGCTGATACAAAATAGATATACAATAGCCAAGAAGAGAAGGAGATCTTCACACATCAGTGGCAATGCAAACCATTATGTCAATAGCCTAGCAAATGTGAAGTCAGACTAGCATCCTGTGGAGTTTAACCAGGCTAAGTATAAAGACCCAAACCTGGAATATAGATGACATCAGCCTGAATGGTTATTTATTGTTTAACAGTCCCGCAGTTCCAAGTAATGGGAAGTGTTGGCCAAAGGCAGGATTGGCCTACATTTCCCCCGAGCTGCATATAGAGGACAATGTCCTATCCATATGTTATTAACATTAAATCTGGACAAAATAAATGCTAATGTTTCCAATTTCTTATACTTCTCCCCCTCTGAGAACTTAAGAAATTTAATAATGGCACCCATGGAATCTACTACAGCCTCAGTTGTCCTAAACTATAATTCACTGGTCTTAAAAATGTGTTCTGTGCTAAACCCAAAACAACTTCACTTTCGTGGACAATCGGGCAGGTTCACCCCTAAGTAGTTTGACAAGGAATGCTTATTAAAGAAAAATCAAGTCAGAGAAATTTACAAGCAGTGTAGGAAGAAGGATCTAGCAAGTCTTCCCCAGGAGTATTATGTAGTTAAAAATCAATACAAAACTCTAATTGTCCAGAAAAAGAAACAATCAACTCAGAAACAATGGAATGTTCTTTTAGACTCTGTACTGAACAAAGTTTCCAAGTTATTCTGGGCCTTGGTGTCTGGGGCGCTATCTGCCTGCTCAGGAACAGCTCGCTGTAGTATCCCACCAAATATATGGGAAATGCATTTTACTCAGCTATTTGAGGAAGCCAAACCTACCCAATCGGTCCACATTTCATAACAAACTGAAAACGAAATAGCCTGTCTAAAATCTGGGAAAGCACTGGGACCGGATTTAATTCCACCAGAGTCCTTAACATCTAATGCAGACTGGTACACCCCCCTTTTTAGCTCAGCTATTCATATTCATTAACAACACTAGGCAAATGCCACCGTGGTCAGAGGCAATAGTGATAAGAATGAACCCTCAAATTATAGACCAATTAGCCTTCTCTCTATAGTAGGTAAGCTTAATGCCAGATACATAAATGACAGACTAAGCTCATGGAGTTGGAGAACATTTTAGGGCACAAACAGGCTGGCTTTCAAAAGAATCGCTCCACCTTCAACCACTGTATAGTTTTAAATCACCCTGCAGAGAAATATATGGGCCTTTACGGAAACAGCCTGTTTGCAGCTTTTATAGTCTGTTGATTATATTCTCAGAGAAAATTCATGGAAAACACTTTATTTTTCCTTGATTGATAAAAGGCTTTTATACCTTATCAGAGCCTCTATCAACAGTCCACAATTAGGATAAGATGTGGAGTGGATGGAAGTTTTTCTGACCCCATTTGGGTGGAGAGGGGTTCGCAAACGTTGCATATTGGCACCCACACTATTCAACTTGTACCTTAATTACCTCTCTAGAAGTTGTTTAGCACCTAAATATCACTCCCCAAAACTGGCTAAAATCAATGTAACCCTGTTACTATACGCAGACAATGCGTTCTCATGTTACTCTTGGAAATTTGCCTTAAATGATCCATATGTGCCTTCATGTGCTATTGGAGAAATAACTCACTATCAGTTTTGACAAAACCAAAATAAGGGTCTTCTCTAGATATAGTAAAACCAAAAATTGGGTTATTGAGGGTCAGCAGATAGAACAGATTAAAAAAATTCAAATACCTGGGAATTACTTTTTCATGCTCCCTCTCCTGGTCCTACCACAATCAGCAGTACAGATGGCCAATAACACAAGCAAACTACTGTGTTTCCCCGAAAATAAGACAGAGTCTTATATTAAATTTTGCTCTGAAAAATGCATTAGGGCTTATTTTCAGGGAATGTTTTATTTTTTCATGTACAACAATCTACATTTATTCAAATACAGCCATGTCATCTTTGTCTGGTTGCTGCACAATGGTGGAGGTGCACTACAAGCTGCACTGGTAGGCAGTGAAATTGTTGAAACAAGGGAATTAAGTGATCTTTTTTACTGGCTCCAATGGTTCAGTGTTCTGAAACCAACTGAAGTCTCCAAACAATCTTTAAAGGCACTCCCACACAGAATATTTTAAAGTAATTCAAGTGGGACATGTTTAGTTGAATCAGAGATTTCCAGGAATAGGCACATGTGGCACACCAGCTTTAAAAGTGCAAATGCATTCTTGGCTACAGCCAAAACCTGAGCATCTAAGCTCAAGCAGGAATCCATGACTACATCCAAGTTGTACACCTGAGAGTTTTCAGAGGAAGTATAACCCTACAGGGAGTTGACTCCCTATTCCCCTATATGTTTTTTGACTGACTAGGAGCATCTCTTTCACGCACTGGTTTAGAACTCAGACTGCTTCTCTGGAGTTTGGAAAGAAGGCATAGAGCTGGGTATCTCTTTTTTTCCAAGAGCATGACCAGGCTTCAAAACAAAGTGCATTCACCCTGTTTTAACGTGAACAAGCGGGATGGACTCTATTATACTGCAACACGCTCAGAGGAAGGATTGCAAAAATGGGCTGCGAACAGCAGGACACAAAGACACTTTGATTTAAAAGAAGTCTTAACATTTCTGTTTTTTTTCTTGCACCTCTAAGTTGCTGTTAATGATAAGCAAAGTCATTGTGCATCACAGAGTAACATATTTCTTAGAATCTTATGAAAACACTCCAGTCACACTTTGTTTACAAGTATGCTACAAGGGGGAAAATGCCATGACTGCACAGCCCCAACACTCCTTAATTACATGCATAGATCGTATTTTTCAAATCAACTAGTGGAGAGCAGAGGACATGAGATCTACCTAAATATACTTCAGAAGACCTTCAGATTGAAGAGATTTTAAGAGATGTACAGTCATGTGAAAAAAAGTACACCCTCTTTGAATTCCGTGGTTTTAAGTATCAGGACATAATAAAAATCTGGTCCTTAGCAGGTCGGAAAATTAGGTAAATACAACAGTTATTCTTGTTAAATAAATCATGATACTGTTATATGTCACATGTGTTGTTTATCTGAGCAGAGACGGAGCTATCATACTCAAAGTGGTGTACTGGATCTTTTGTCTGAGAATATAATCTGAAGTCATTATGAGGTCACATAGATTTGTCAGAATCTATAAACTATAATATATAATCTTTTCACACAAGATCTTACAACCCATTTTGGAGCATTTTTAACAGTGGCTGTTATTTCTTTGCCTTGCACATATAGTGGGTCTAAAAGACCCGCTGCTAATTTTATCCTTACCCCTACACAATCTCCCAAAATACAGAAACAAAAATTTAAAAACAACCACCACCAAGCAATCACAATGATAATTTATCATTTCTATGAAAAAAATGTGTTTTCTTGCTAGGTGAGTCTTTAGTTTTACTGGTTAATACTCAATTACTTTACAGTAGATAGGGAGGTGGTTTTCTTCTGGGAGAGGGAGCGAGAGTCTCAAGCATGAGGGATGGATGGATGTGGTTTGTTAAGGAGGGTGCAGCATTTGCAGCATGGTCCATAGTAAATCTGGCACTGAAAAAAACCTCTGTGGTGCCCCTCCCCTTATTGATGCCCTAAGCATATGTTTATTTTGCTTAATGCTTAATTCAAGGCTGAGTAGGGACATGAACTGGCATGAGGAAGACCCTGCTGGAAAAGGAGGATCCCTAAAGCAGAAGGATGAACTTACAATGAACTTTCTCCAAAGCCCTCTTCCTGCAGACTAGAGTTCCCAATGCACTGCCTTCCCCCTGAGAAGGAAGGAGACTCCTTTGCTCTCATACACATTTTGCAAAAGGAAGGAGACTTGTGCACAGTTTGCAAAAGACCAAATCGTTGCTCTCCTTGGCTGAAGCCAAAGACCAGACTCAGCTGAAGTGAAAGACCAGATTTTTGCTCTCTTCAGTGAAAGCAAAGATCTGAAGCAAATCTCCATGTCCTTCAAGCTAAGTGGAAAGAAGCAGGAGAGCTGCTCCAAATCTTTGCTTCATCCGAGGAGAGAAAAGATCTGGTATCTTTCCTTTTGCAAACTCTGAGGGGCCCTCCCTTTCTCATGAGTTATTAAATCAATTAAGTACAAGTTATTTTGCTTAATGGTTAATCTGAGCACTTTTACAGATGACTGCAGGCAAAGTATTTTTTCCCAATATAATTTTTTAATTACTGTATTTTTGTATTGGGATAGGGCCCTCCAGTGCAATTGCCCCCTTATAAATCCAGTATTGCACCCTGAGCATTACTCAGTCAGGAAACATTAATGTCAAGAAACAAATCCAGAAAGGAACTATAAGGGCACAGGTACAAATTATGTGCATACAGCTAGTTTTTACAGGTAACAGAAGGGGGGATCTTCCAAACATTTCCTTCAAATGTTTTCTTTTAACCAAAATGGAATTCAGAATTTCTAAATTCCTGAACACATGTTTGCATTTAAGTCCCACATTAAACTGCATTTTCCTAACTATAATATGTATTTCTGGAATCATCCAATGCCTACATCACTCCCTCCACCACAACATAGGCAAATGAACAAACATATATAAACTGACTAGCAGCATAAATATTTGCAAGAACTTGATTAATCAACAATATAGGTTGATTAATCTCAAGAGGCTATCCATTTGGCAGAGAAGAAACAGCTTACCGAGCAATCTTATCACTGCATGACATAGTGAGCAATCTCTCCCCTTGAAGAACCCCATCCCATGTCTGGATGGTAGCTGTAGATCGGACGGGAATTGTTCCTTCTCCAGATTCAATTTTTGTTCGGAGTTGCCCTCTTGCTTTCCTGTTTGGATGCCTATCTCCCTGATCTATGTGATAGAAGTGACCAAAGTTAATAGTCATGAAATGAAAGATGACTACCATTTTTGGTGCTGGTAACTTTAGAGATGGGATGTTCATATTCATTATGAATATTCCTGGCCCAGGTGGCCTGCATTCCAAGGCCTATCTCCCAGAACCGAACCATCCACTTATGGGTCACGATGCAGCATGCAGGGCCAGCGTCCTGCTCGACAGTCCAAGATTTGACAAAACCTGGCTGCCTTCCTGCAATTCTGGCCACTCAGCAGCTGAGCAGAAAGACTGGAGTGGCCAGAAGAGCATGAGGGACGAGATGCAGCAGCCGGGCTTTCTAGGATCTTGGACTGATGAATAGGACGTTGGCCCCACATGCTGCACCATGACCCATAACTAAACAGGTTGTTTCTGGGAGGCAGGCCTCGGGATCCGGGAACACCTAGGCCAGGGATATTCATATTCATTAACAAATGTGAATATACCATCTCTATATGCTGTCTAAGTTTAGCACTATTTTCTTTTACTCATTTGAGACAGCAAATCAATAAAATAATAGCAAAGATCGTGTAGAGTTTAGAGGAATCAGAAAAGTAGTGATACCTGCTAAAAATAATCCTCATACCCAAGACTCTTCACTAAGCTCTACTACACATTCAGAAATTCCTATATGGGACAAATGTCTATTTCTTTTGGAAAATGCCTATTCTAAAGTATTTTAATTGTCTTATAAACAAAACTACACACACAATAAATCAGGTTGGATAAAAATAAATGATTATTTAAAAATTAAATTGATTTAAATCATGATTTAAATCACAATTTAAATTTTAAAAAACAATTTTTATTTAAATCATCAAAAATCCAACTTTTAAAATTTAAGTCATGATTTAAATTATGATTTAAACCAATTTTATTTAAATCAAATCTAATTTAAATCAAATCAAATCCACCCTATAATAAATTGCTATCATGTAAAAATTAATGGGTTACAGAGAGATAAGGCAAACTGTTTGCCCATACATGTAGGACATCCACAGCATGTGATCTACATATGAAAATATTGTAAGATTTTTTATAATGTACTGTGAAGTAGTATCAGGCTTCCTATATAGTGGCCCAAATTCTCTTGCAAACTTAATACCAGCATAACTCAATAGGAGAACATTCAGTGGCAATTCATAAAAAATAGTGGCCACAATATATATGAAATCTGCTTTTTTCCTGTTACAAACATTTTCTTTACTATGCCAAACACATTGTACCTTCTTGTGCTGCTTCATGCGGCGAAAAGATCCGAGCATCACCACAAGGAGAAGTACTGATATAGAGATGAAACTGCACATTTTCTTTCAATTTAAAGCCACTTTGTTCTGACTTGATAAAAATAGATTTCTGTTGATCTTCCTTATTACTAAAGCAGAAACAATTATTGACAAGTTTTTTAAATTGTATCAAGCAAGAACTAAAGGTTAGCATAACCAGGTTTAATATGTCGTTGTATGCCACAATGAACCTTTGAAAAGTAAGTTGATAGCAGATTATCATCACCTTAATCATGCATTTTCCCTCCATGATTTTCATGATTTCTCATCTTTGTTCTGGACTCGACTGGTTTCTTAATAAAGTACTGGGCATGAAAGGGAAACAATCTATACAATGTGTGAAAATCTGGGCTCTTCCAGCTAAATTATCAGAGTGCTGTGGTCTGTTCACAAATCCCCCCGACATTTGATTAATCTATGCAGAGCTTGAAGCGTTAGGTTTGAACATCAGTTCATTGCTATTACACATCAGACATTGATTGGGATATTAATTTGTTAGTGTTCATATTTAAACTGGCATCACTTAATTAGTGTTATTAATGAAACAATTAACTCTGAAGTTAACAGAAGTGTTTATGGAAAACGGCATGTGGATTTTCACTATTGATCCCTAATGGCACAATTATTCTTGGCTTTTGGTGGGTGGCTGTGGTAAGAAATTAGTGGCTGTGACAAGCATAGTTGGGCTGAAGGGCAAGTCTGAGGCTGAGGAGCTTCTACTATGGAAGTCTATAAGTGGTGCCCTGCATAGCTACGTTAATCCGTTCCAGGATTAACGTCGCTATCCGGAAACATCGCTAAACGGAACAAAAAAACTCGTTCCTATGGGGCAAAAACTCACCGTTCAGCGAAGATCCTCCATAGGGGCGGCCATTTTCGGTGCCTCTTAAGTGAGGAATCCGTCCAGAAAACAGCGGACGGCCATTTTGAAACCGCCGATTGGCTGTTAAAAAAGCATTGCTTTGCCAAGCAGGGAACCGATCATGGCAAAGCACTGCCAGCCAGCCAGCCTGGGAGACACCGGACGTCCTTGGGCTGCGGGTAAGCGACGGCTCGGAGGCAGCCGCCTGGGGCGGGAAGGGGCTGGCCATCTACCCGGCGCGTGCTCGCTCGCTCACCAGCCAGCCAGCCTGGGAGACACTGGGCGGCCTTAGACAGCGGGCGAGCAAGGGCTCGGAAGGATCTCCGACGCACGCGTGCAGTGGTTGGGGAGCTTATGCACCACAGGTGCGCGCACATTCCCTCACCACTTCATGCATGCGCAGGAGTGCCTGCCCACCAACGGCGGCGGCGGAAGCCTGGGAGTCTTTTTAATTTTTATTTTATTTTACCTGGCTCATGCCCACCCCCATACACCATTCGCCACCGCCACTGCCAGGAGGACAGCACCCGGGCTTTCCTCTTCCTCCTGGCCTTTCTCCACCCCCCCACCCCGTTGCCACCACCGCTGCCAGGAGAAGAGTGCCCGGGCCTTCCTCTTCCTCCCGACCTTTCTCCACCCCACCACCCCATTGCCACAGCCACAGCTGGGAGGAGAGCGGATGGGCCTTCCTCTTCCTCCCGGCCTTTCTCCACCCCACCACCCCATCGCTGCAGCCACTGCTGGGAGGAGAGCTGCCGGCTCTTGCCCTGCCTCCCGGCTCTCCCCCAACCACCCCCTCACCCCCGTCGCCACCACCGCTGCCAGGAGGAGGGCCGCCGGGAACACCTGGGCCTTCCGAAGCCCCCGCCGGTCAGCTGGGGGAAGGTATGGGGAAAAATCGCAAAGCGATTTTTCCCCATAGGGAACATCGCAATGTGATCGCAAAAGCGATCGCAAAATCTTCATCGGTATGTGGATTCGTCGTTAAACGGGGCACCCATTAAGCGAGGCACCACTGTACTTTCAAGGATAGCTTGTACAGTGTCCTGTCAAAGAAGTGTATTTGAAAGTGGTTGAAGTATTACTGCCTGTACAATCAGTCCTCTGCTGGAATTGTACAGGTGACTTTTTATGGTATAGGTGCGTAAAGAGCATGATCACATAAGTGCCTTCAACAGAGGGCCCACCTGTGACCATTAACAATCGCAATGTGTGAAAATTTGGTTAATATTATTCATAAAACAACCATTTGAATGGTCAGCAGGGCTCACACTGACACAAAAAGTATCCATCTTGTTGAGCCTAAATACTATTGATGATGGAAATATTTTACTATCTGGATTTAGGAAGGAGATATTTCTCAACTAGAGTGTTTGCTGTTATCCCTTCCTGGTTTGAATAAAGCTTCTTATTCTTACTTCCCTCCAGGTACTAAGGACCATACCCTGGGAGACTGGAAAGTACAGTATTCCCTTTTGCCTCAGGCCAAAATTAAACATTCACCGTGGTTTTCATTGAAAGCTCTTTGCTGAATTCAGCTTGGCAGGCACTTGAAGGGAAATAGTTGGGAAAGTCCAGGTAAGCTCACAGACCTCATGGCTTAAGGTCATCATATTTGAGTTCTAATGCACACATCAACGTAATACCATGTATGTGCTTCCAAGTAGCCCAGCCTTTGGCAATTCTGACTACTCCATTCCCACTTTAGGAATCCTTTAGAAAAGAGAATCAACAATGGATCCCAAGCTGCAGTGATAATCCTTCCACAATTATATGCCAAAATGGGGCAAGAATATAATCATTTTTCTTCTACTACTGCTGATGTCAGATTGAAGTTTCAGCACAAGGTAACCATTCTGCCAGCATAAGTTCCTGCATTAGCACAGATGCTAAAGATCAATAAATATGTACAGTATCTCTAAACACAATGGGATGTACAGAACTTGCTTCTTTACTAAAGAGAGAAATTTGAAGGAATTGTCCTCTAAGTGTACCTTAAGAGGAGTTCAAGTTGTGCATAGAGAAATTTAAGGAGACATCTCCGTGCTATAATTTCTGCATGGCAGTCATTTAGTGCAAGACCACGATCACTCATATATTCTCCATTAATACACTTTGTTCCTGTAGAAACACTTATAACTTGAGCGTCTTTCACATCAGTACCTGGAAAACAAGTTTCAAGACAAAACAAGTTTCAAGAGGAAAGGCATATAAGGATCTTTCAAGAGGGCTTTTTTCAGTGAAATACATATTCTAATTACATAGAGAAAAACATATGGCTCTGGAGATCCTGCCTGATCACAACAAAATACTGAGCCAGGTCATCTTCAGCTATGCAGTTTGAAGAAAAGGAACTTTGAATGGAACACTGAAACCTATCCTGACCCACAGACACTGGTGAGAAGCTATCTTTGGATATCTGCTCTCACACAGATTTAGAATTCAAATTATGCACATTTTAATAATTTCCTAATATTTATGGAATGAACATTAAAAAAACAACAAAAATAATTTAGATCTTATTAAGACATCATTAGTTAGCAATGAAGGATAATTATCTTGGAAGGTCTGATCCTCTTACTGGCTCCAGATTACCAGAAAATACAGTGGTGCCTCACATAGCGACGTTAATCCGTGCAGCAAAAATCGCTGCTAAGCAATTTCGTCGCTATGCAATTTTAAAAAGCCCATAGAAACGCATTGAAACCGCTTCAATGTGTTCCTATAGGCTTAAAACTCACCTTAAAGTGAAGATCCTCCATACGGCGGCCATTTTTGCTGCCTCTAAAGCGAGGAATCCGTGGGAAAACACAGCGGGCGGCCATTTTTTTACACGGTGGCCATTTTGGAACCGCCGATCAGCTGTTAAAAAATCATCGCTTTGCGATGATCCGTAAGCCAAACAGGGAACCGATCATCGCAAAGCGAAAAAACCCCATAGGAAACATTGCGATGCGATCGCTTTTGCGATCACAAAAAGTTAATCGCTATGCAGTTTCATTGCTAAACGGAGTGCCCATTAAGCAAGACACCACTGTATACCAATTTAGCTACTCAACTATTTTGGGGAGAAACAAAATTAACTTCCACTTTCAGTCCTGCCAGACTTTGGACTCCTGTCAAACAGCCTCATAATGGGAGATGTGGTCCCTGAGACAGCTTGGGCCCAAACTGTTTAGGGCTTTATAGATTGCAACCAGCATTTTGAATTGTGCCCAGAAACAGATGAGCACCCAATGGATTTGCTGTAACAGAGGGATTATATTATCTCTGTGACTAGCTCCAGTTACAATCTAGCTGCTGCATTTTCGATCCACTGAAGTTTCCTGACACTTTCCAAAGGCAGTCCCATATACAGCGTGTTACAGATGCTAAATCAGATCTCTCAAGAAATGGACATAGCTGGCACACTGGTTTTAATTGTGCAAATACATTTTTGGCCACCGCCAAAACTTGGGCATTCAGGCTCAGAGATGAACCCAGGAGCACTGCCAAGATGCCCACCTATGTCTTCAGGGGGAGTGTAGCCCCATCCAGCACAGGTTGCATCCCTGCTTGTTTTGCCTTTTGATTGACCAGGAACACCTCTGTCTGGATGAAGTTTCAGTTACTCACCCTCATCCAGTCCATTAGACACTAGATCTAGAGCTAAAACAGCTTCCTCAAATTTAGAGGGCAAAGATAAATAGAACTGGGTGTCATCCACATACTGATACAATTTTCCCCCAAGGTAGCAGACTTCCCATCCTTTGGAGTAAGGCAACTTCTTGCTGATGATGTAATCAGCCATGGATGTTAACCTTTAAAGCTTCCTAATCCCCCCACCTGTTAGATTCTGAGGCTCCCTAGGTATCATTTTCAACTGGGGAAACCTCTGGGAACTCTGGGATATCACAAAATCATCACTAGGGCCCCCCATCACCGGGATCATGACAACAGCAGAATTTATTTTCAACATCAAAAGGGTTCCCCTTCCCAAGGCTCTCAAAGGCTTACCTAGGTTGCAAAGTATCCTTACAGAGCCTTGGAACTTGACTGTGGCAGAACAGAAAGGGTTTGAAATAGGAAATTTTAAATTAAAGATGCCATTTATGACTGTGGAATTGTGCAACAGAGCATAAGCCACAGTGTCAATGTTAATCATGAATAATAGAAATATATGTACAGTGGTGCCTCGCTTAGCGATTGCTTCATTTAACGATGTATTCGCTTAGCGATGGGTTTTTTAAGGAATTTTCCGCATCGTTTAACGATGTTCTCTATGGGTGATTTTCACTTAACAATGTCCATTTTCGCTCATTTAAAAGTGTCTTAAAATGTTTGAAACCTGTTTTAAATGCTTAGAATCGTTAGTGCACCTTGTAAAACATTTGTAAACTTAATTTGGCTTTGTTCTGAGTCTTCGTTAATTTTTGGTGAATTTTTCCCCCCACTGGAATGCATTGAACGGACAGTATAATGTATAATAGCAGAATGAGCAGTTCCATTTTCAATTTTATTATTTAAACATTTATATCCTTCTGTTGTCTTCATTGAAACAAGTCTTGACGAGAGCTTTATGACTAACTCCTACCATTCAGAAAGTATTAACTTTCAAAAATCTGAGGTTGTTAAGAGTTTCTTTCAGAATAAATCAAATTTAACCAATGTAACTGCTTGGAATTACTTTTATGGGCTTAGTTCTTTAAATTTTTGATCTTTTTAAAAACATTACTATGAATAAAAAGAGTTAATAATGTATTTATATAAAACTAAGAAATGATAAAAGGCTGAATCTCATCGGTCTTTGTAGTCTCCGTGAATGTACACATATGGGTGAGTAGCAAGTTCAGTTATTGGATAGAGAAAAGTCATGGAAAAACTCAAGCCAGAATGGCTTTGCCAAAGGTAGGGCACAGCCTTTCTCTGGTGTCATGTCTGTAGTGTCTGATGAACGTAGACTGCATCCATGTGGCGGCACTGCAGATATCATGGAGCTGGATGCCTTTCAGAAACACAGTGGAAGAGAAAAAAGCTTGAGTAGAATGGGCCTTGACTTACAGAGGCAATAGAACCTTAGTGAATTGGTAGCACAAAACAATGGTATTGACAAGATACTTGGAAAGGCACTGTGAAGCGATTTGGGCACCTAGGGAGCTCTCCTGATAGCTAACGAATAGCCTTGGAGGTCCTTTCCTAGTGGAACATCCTTTGCCCCCTACACTGGGGACTTCGAAACTGAGGGGTCCCGGTCAGTTTCAGAACCTCTCCCAAAACCCAACTGGTCTCGCTGCAACAAAACCCCACCTTTCTCTGTCGTCCCACAAGAATCTTTGATAGCTCCCCATTGCTCCCTGATAATTGGCTGTGCACATGGCAAAGGATGCTGTTGAGTAGATTTTCCTGCCCAGTAAGTCCCATTTGTAACCCTCACAGTTATTAGGAGTGTTGGATTGATGACCCTGGTTTGTGTACCATCTCCAATGATCAAGTTGGGGTGAAGGTGCCAGGATACAAAAATTGAATCCACATCAAAAAAATTTATACAGTACTCTCCACACGTCTGGAGGTTGGTGGAACAGTTGAAGGTTTGACCCCCAAATCCTTCACTATGTCAAGAAGACAGGGCATCATTGAGAGGTGCACAGATATGAAAGATTGTTTGTTGATTTGATCATCGTGGAGATCTGATTAGTGTGTGAGGTTTCTGAGTCTGTAGATCGAGTAACCTGGTAAGGCAGAGAATGCGGTCAGAATGAGACTGGAGGACTGACGTCAGAAAAAGAGGTTGGGCAACTGCAACATCTGGTTCAGGAATAGTGACCAGGGCTGAGGTCTCCTCTAAAGATTCTGGGTCAGAGTCAGAAGCTTGGAACCTAAAACCATCTGAACCCAAACCCTGTTCCTGTTTCTGTTGCCACAGCACTTGAGAGGGACATACATCTGGAGTTAGAGAGGTAGGGACTCCCCTTTGATGTCAAGGATCAGAATTGACATGGTAAGATTTGAGGTATTTTGGAGGAGGCTCATGCTCATATCAGTATTGAGTGGATGTTTTGGACCAGGCACCCCACAAGTGGAAGGTTTAGGAAAGTGGTATTTCCATCGTTTTGGTTTCGGTGAAGGATTGGCTTTGATGGGATGTCAGCATTGAAGCAGTAGATGTTTTTGACACAGCAGGGTCCCTGCTAGTAGAACGTGGGTGTGCTCTGGAAGGCTGCTGGTGGCAAGGCAACTGTTTGGTATTGATGTTGGATGAAGGGCTTCGATGCTGGGAGTGATGAGCTGAATGCTCAGCACAGCAATGGTCTTGGTCTACACTCTGCTGTCAGCGCTGAGGAGACAACAGAGTGGCAAAATAGCATTGGGGAGAACCATGGTGTCCCTGTACTCAGGCCTGTGTGCGTGCCCAGATAAGGGGGCTGATGACAGCCATGGAAAGGCTGTGACTTTGCCAATCAGAACCCCCTGTCATTGGCTAGGGTGAGGAGGCAGCTGGTGAAAAGTTGGTGGTAGAGGACAAGGGCTCCAAATTTGGCGATGGAGAACAATTCCAATGGGCAGAGACCTGTGGGGACTCTGGCAGCACGTGGTGCACTGAAATGAAGCCTCCAGAGATGGAGATGTAGAAGAACGGGGGGAAACTTGAGCCGGCTCCTCAAAAAAGGAAGAGAGCTGCTGAAGGGAAGGCTGAATTGCATTGGTCCATTCCAGCGACTGACTGAAAGTTGGGGAGCCCAGCAGGCTATCTCAGAGCTAAATTTAGAACCTTATTGTCAGAGAAACAGTGTCAAGGGTATCTTATATGAGAGGTTGTTGAGGGTTCTCCTGGAGTTGAGGGTAGTATTGCAAATTCAACAGGTTCAGAGATGGGAGCCAATTAACCTCGAGAGGAATCCATGTCATGCCTTAGCTACAGTCTTGGAAGCCTGAAGGGAAGCTTCCCAGAGGTGAACTTTTAAGGCAATCTTGACCATGTCTCAAAGTGGCTTTCGTATAGCTATGACTGCGGGGACAGATTTGGGTTAGTGTTCCTCCCCAAGGCAAAAACAGCAGAAAGCCATTGGAAAGTGGGACTTTACTCTCACAATGCTGGCATATTTTGAAAGGCCTTTTGGATAAAATAATATTAACCAAGGAATTAAACCGGCAAGGAAAGGGAATTGGGGGAAAGGGAATTCTCTCTCTCTCTCTCTCTCTCTCTCTCTTTTTCTTTAAAGGAAAGAACTCCCAACCAGTCCAAAAGAAATTGGGGGGGGGGGGGGGGGGGATTGGAGAGAAACTGAAGAACAAGATAAGCAAAAGCTCCAGAGTGCTCCTCGGATTCTTCCAGGATGGCAGCAAAAGAAGAACTAAGGGAAGGCTGTTAGAGGTGCGAACATGCACTGCTGGGAGGGCTTTTCTAATGGTTTTTTTTCCCTAATCTCTAGAATGTTCTTTGTGCAGGTAACAGAAGTTACCCATATGTGTGCACTTATGGACAACACAATGAAGAAACTTTTGCCTTCCCTTCAGCTTTCTACCTTCAACTTTAAAAAAACAAAAATTTTATCTGGATCAAAACTGTTCTCTGAGCAGAGAACCCACATCTATTTCAGAGAACATAAATGTTTGACTAAGCGTCTCTAGCCTAAGTATCATTTAGTGCTCTTGATTTTCCTTCATACAGTAGCTTCCCCAGGCTTAAGAGAATACTGGGACAAAAGAGAAAACACACCCCTTTATTCTATCCTGGTACTTTCTGGTAAATGACTCCTGATGCACTACCACCACAACTCATATTTGCCTTCCTCCAGAGATAAGATATATTTATTTCTAAGGCTAAGGGGAGCAATATAGAATGCTAATTCAGGTCAAAACAAGCACAAGATTTCCCATACTGGTATACAGAAAGAATTTTTGACTCTTTAAGAAAAACAACCTGCATTTCCATCTTGTATGTAATTTTACAAATTGCAAAATTGGGAAATTATGGAATCAGATCAGAACTGTTGATTTTTTTGTATAAAGAAACTTCTTTGCAAAAATAGATGTAAATAGAAATAGCTGTTCACTGTCACTTTATTTTGTATACCACCAGGAACAAAGCACCAAATTAACATGCATGAGTATATTCTTGATTGATTTTTACCTGTTGTCATGACAACACCAGCCAGTACTTTTCTGCGTGCATGAGGTGATGTAAAGTTATCTGTCAAATTGCTGAATTTATCCACCACCAAGCGCGCAACAGCATCAGCTAAAACCTGCAAAAATTATATAAATATGTTAGACAAGTGAGCAAAACCCATCTTTTGATGCTTGTTATAAATATTCAGCTCTACAACAGTTTTAACATTTTCACAATTGATTTTTAAACCCATATCATATTTTTGTAACATTTACTAGAATTAATCAGCACTGTTGTTTCTAATATTTGAACAATGTAGAGCCATATGATTTAGCTAATTCCTCAAATCACACTGATTTTCTAATTTTCTAATAGAAAACACTATGGGATATGCAAATACAAGGCTGCACAGACTACATTGAAATTTAAGTCAGATTCTAGCCTTCTTTATGACATACTATTTATAAATGTTTCAGGCATCATGATTATGAAATTGGAGCAACAAAGAAAATATAAAGCATGACACCCCCATACTCACCTGATGGAGAGAGGATTCTCAACGTTTTATATTCTGTATAAATAAAGTATTAAATGATTTAGGGTATAAGAACTGTAACACTAGGAATGTGAAATGTGATTATACCATGGAGGTTTGAACAACAATTAACTGCTTGATTCAGAACAACCTTGAAACTGAGTTGTGATGTAGAAGTAACTATTTAAGCAGTAATGTGCTGAATGTCCATTAGAAGTCACTATTGAGTATTTTCAAATTTCTCATACATTCCTATGCATTCTTCAATGGTAGTGATGCCTAAGTAAAAGTCCATTGGGTCTTCAACTGTAGCAGCTCCCATAGAGAATGCATTTACTACCAAATCAGACTCAATTGGAAAATACATTAAGACTGCTAGATTTGGAGAAAGAGAAGCGAAACTGTTACTGTTTCCTCTTAGCGTTTCTATAGTAGAATCTATGAGATCTTGCATTAACCTACTAAAATTGAAACTGCAACTTGGTAGGATATGTGTAGACAAAGGTAAGTATACATGAACATCTTTTTCGTATTAAAGGGTCAGCGTAATGTAGCAAGATGCCAGAAACCCAGCACAGAGTTAGCTAAGTCAGCTGAGCCACAACAGAGCCAAGCCAAGCCAAGTTGAGAAGCTGGGAGTGGGGAGGAAAAAGATAATGAAACAGCAGCTGGAGATAGATGCAGAGAGGCAATGCACAGAAACTGTGGATTGTCCTCCATGGATTTTAACTAGCAGATGGACAAGAAAGCATGTAGAAAATGTATTATTTTTCTGTGTGTGTATTTAAATGTGCTAAAAGGCTAAGAAATATATTTCTGTTACTGATTTTTACTTCTTTAAAAAGTTATATTTTCAACAACTTTGAACTATCTTTATCCTTAGAAGCAATGTACCATATTTTTCCATGTATAAAACGATATTTTCCTAAAATAATTAGAGGAAAAATTGAGGGTCGTTTTATCCGTGGAAGGCAGAGACTGAGGCAGAGAAGCAGCCGCATTAGGCCGCCTCTTGCTGCTGCCCATTGACTGCTGCTGCCAGTGGTGGATTGCTCATTCCAGCAATTGTCTCCTTGCGATTGGGTGGTGGCAGCAACAGTCAATGGGCAGCAGCAAGAGGCTGCTGAGTCCAGCTGCTGTCAGTCTCCGCCTCCTGCTGGTGCTGTCTCCCTTTGACCGCTGCTTTTCCCTTCCTTTTGCTAAGCTCCGTGGAAAAACCATAGCTTTGACTATGTGTACTTTTGTTTGCAAGGTGATGTCTCTGCTTTTTAAGATGCTGTCGAGGTTTGTCATCGCTTTCCTCCCAAGAAGTAGGCGTCTTTTAATTTCGTGGCTGCTGTCACCATCTGCAGTGATCATGGAGCCCAAGAAAGTAATATCTGTCACTGCCTCCATATCTTCCCCTTCGATTTGCCAGGAGGTGATGGGACCACTGGCCATGATCTTAGTTTTTTTGATGTTGAGTTTCAGACTGTTTTTTGCACTCTCTTCTTTCACCCTGATTACGAGGTTCTTTAATTCCAAGTTTGGAAAACTCAACAGTGGCCAGAGGATTGGAAAAGATCAGTCTACATCCCAATCCCAAACAAGGGCAGTGCCAAAAAATGCTCCAACTACCACACAATTGCACTCATTTCACACGCTAGCAAGGTTATGCTCAAAATCCTCCAAGGTAGGCTTCAGCAGCATGTGGACCGAGAACTCCCAGAAGTACAAGCTGGATTTCGAAGGGGCAGAGGAACTAGAGATCAAATTGCTAATATGCGCTGGATTATGGAGAAAGCCAGAGAGTTCCAGAAAAAAATCTACTTCTGCTTCATTGACTATGCAAAAGCCTTTGACTGTGTGGACCACAGCAAACTATGGCAAGTCCTTAAAGAAATGGACGTGCCTGACCACCTTATCTATCTCCTGAGACACCTATAGGTGGGACAGGAAGCAACAGTTAAAACTGGATATGGAACAACTGACTGGCTCAAAATTGGGAAAGGAGTACGACAAGGTTGTATATTGTCCCCCGGCTTATTTAACTTATATGCAGAATACATCATGCGAAAGGCCAGACTGGAGGAGTCCCAAACTGGAATTAAGACTGCCAAAAGAAATATCAACAACCTTCGATATGCAGATGGTACCACTCTGATGGCAGAAAGTGAGGAGGAATTAAAGAATCTCGTAATTAATGACTTTGATAGAGTGAACCTATTATCAAACCTGCAAAGAATGCAAAATTTTGAGGAATTACAAATATTTTAGTAGAATAAGATTTTTTAAATTATGTCAATAAACTGAAGAACTGAACTGAGTACAATAAAATATATATGTTCACATAAATCCAACAGTTGGCCCCAACTAAAACAGGCCTGTTGAATTAAAAATGCCTGTAAATGCTATTGTTGCAATGGACCTGTTCTAGTTGGTACTATCATTTGGATTTTTGGCTAGTGGATTTACTTCATGGACGTTCTTTTAGCTCAGATTATTCACCCAAGGTAATTAATATTTGTCAATAAAATCAAGCAATTGTATGCTAAAATATACACTTTAATATCACATAGAAAAAGCACAACAATAGCACATAAAGCAATATATATCAGATGAAACAGATAAATGAATCACATGAAAATAGTAGGAAATAGTAAGAAAATTCAAATAACAGTAGTAGACAAAACAGTTAAAATACCATAGCTAGTGCCATTCAGAAGGCTGATTGCATTAAAAAGGTCTTTGGAGCCAACATAAAGGACATTTTCCTTGAGGAGATTATTCCACAGTTCTGATGCAACCAGAGTAAATGCCCTGTCCCTAATACTCACCATTCTAAGAGTTCTTACAGAAGATCTCAGTAGCAGGCCTCAGATATAAGTTGAACATAAACCAAAAAATGCATGGGGAAGACAGCATATCACAAAGCCATAAAATGGCAAATATCTAACTAGATATTAACCCAACCAATAGAAATTAAAATATGTCCGGCATATGTTTTGTTCAAACTAACCTCTCAATTGTCCTTGTTTACAACAGCTAAAACACCCATATTGCTAGTCAAATAAATGTATGAACGAACTTCATGTATACTCCATTAGCTCAAAGCGGAGGCAGGTAAACACCATATGAATATCTTTTTTCATTGGAAAGAGCATGTATGTTACAAGGCCATTATCAGGGCATTTGTATATAGGATAAACTGTTTATTTGTGCGATAGCAAAAGTTGAAGATCTGGCATATTATCTATTACATTGTCAACTATATGCTAACATCAGAAAACTCTACTTAACACCCTGTTTTGTTGGGAGGCTGGGGATGATGAGAGTAATTTGACTTCTTTACTGCAAGGGGTTAACCCCCATTTAACTCATAAAGTGGCAATTTTTGCCGTAAAAGCAACAATCCTGAGGAAAGAAGAAGCCAGTAAGGTGTCTGTTTAGTTGAGGTATTCCAACTACTTAGGTATACAGTAATCACTAAGAGGTTACCTGGCATGTCAATGGGGTTCATTTTAAATAGTTGTTTTAAAAGTATTTTTTATGCACATTTATTGTTTTTTATCATTTTACACATTCATTTATATTTAGATTTATCTGTTGACTTATTCAATAAAAATGTGTGAGTGTAAAAGTATACTAATGAAATTTCCAGATGATATTCAACAATGTAGAACCCATAATTCTAGCAGAATATAAAACCTAAGAGAAAATGTGAAAGTGCTGAAAATAGGGTTATTCTAATCTGAGGGTGCCATCAGACAGAGAAATAGCTTTTACTCTGGACTGCTTGCAGCACGGTTTGGTGTGGGAGCTCTTCTAGCAACCACATGACACACAGAAGACTGTGAACTAGGGTTCCCTGCTATGTGCTCAAGGTGGTCCTTTTTAGTCCTGTCACAGAGCTGGGTTTTTTTTTTTTTTTGACTTCTAATGACCATCTTGTCTTTTAGAATGAATGAAATGTTTTTAAATAAGTTTCACTCACTCAAAATGCAAGGAACTGAGCAATATGAAGATTTGCAGATTTGTTTACAGAATTAGATAGCAACAGTTCCACCACATGCTACTGACATATACAATATTCAAGATGTATTTTTGCACTTATTGGCCTAAATCGTTTTGTCTAGTTACACTTCTGGTGACCTTTCTTCAAATTTGAAGCAGCTAGCCACAGCAGAATCAAGACTGCTTCTCTCCAGGTAATAACCTCTATCTTGTTAATTATAAAATATGTGTATTTTGTTTTCATACTACCACCACCCTTCTCAACTGACAAAAATTAAATTATGTGTGCTTATATATAAATTGATCTTTATTGTCTAACAGTAGCCTTTCTTTAGTATGTGGTATATTTACAATTTTGTTTGTACAAAACCAAGGTTTTTAAATATTAAAATTTCTTAAATGTGCCAAATAGTACAACTTTATATGGTAACTAAGCTTATGAAAGAACCATTTTATGTTGCTAATCCACTAAAACAAGTTTGATTATATAAATAAGTATTGTATATCTTTCTACTTCCACCCAAATCTCAATTTTTTAATGGGGGGAAGATAGGGAATCACCCTTTCCCCCATCATAACATCATATCTTTACCTGGCTTGATAGCTCAGTGAGTTAGGTATCTGGATGTTGAGGCAGAGCCTGGCAGTTCATTTCCCCACTCTGCATCTCACAAGAGTGAGCCTTGAGAATGCTACAAAGCCCCAGGATGCCCCCAAAAGAAGGGAATGCTAAGGCACTTCTGAATATTCTCTACCTAGAAAACCCTGAAAAGGGTTGCCAAAAGTCAAAATTGGCTTGTCAGCACACTATTATTATTATTATTATTATTATTATTATATTGGACAAGAAGCCAGGTTTTGTCTAACAGCCAGCACTTGGATGTGTTTTCCAAATCTGCTCACTGTGCCTCTATCTGCCCTACAGTTGTAATGATGTCCATGTAGCGATGTTCAGTAACATGTCCAATAGACATAACAGCATGGCATTATCTAGGTTTTAAATTGTTGCCTCATAGCAGCACAAGTGTCGTATGTTCCTCCAGTGTGTTGGAGGATACAAAGATTTTATATTTCCCTTGATTTTTGGCTTCCTTTCTGCAATGGGAAGGTGAGTAACACCACAGAACCTATAAGCATAAACACTTCCTGCAAAAAAGTAACAGAGCACTGTAGATTTTGCGAGAAATCCTAAGTGGAATCCTTTCTAGAATTTGTCAAAATTAAACCAAAATTTGCCCTCAAACTCTAGTCACCAGTGCCACAAACAGAAACAACTAATGTCCAAGTAATGTAAGAAAATAATCATGCTGGAATGGTTAAAGCAGGGACCCCAACCTTTTTAAAACCGTAAACCGGTTGGGAAAGGTGGGGCAGCCCCTCCCCGCGCTCGTGTGCATGCGTGAAGGGGCAGGCGCATTTATGTATGCGAAGGAGCAGGGGGACGCTCATGTGAGGGCGTGCACACTCGCACGCATGAGTGAAGGTTGGGGGCACTCACACGCATCCATGAAGGGGCTGTGAGGGGAGGGAGTGCATGTGGGGTGGGTGGGAGATCTGTCTCCACAGCCTGGTCCAGCCCAGGCCATGGACTGGCACTGGGCCGCAGACTGGGGGTTGGGACCCATGGGTTAAAGGATAGATGGCCAGTTTCAACCTTGTTTGTACCAGTACAACACTAAAATGGGACAGATCCAAAATTCACTTCATTTACCTTAGCACCTCCCCCCGTCCAGGAGTTCACTGATGAGCCCAAGTAGTGGGCTCAATATAGCAATTCCCCCACCTAAATATGAAAACAGCATGGTAACATTTTTACAGCATCAAACATGCAATTAAATGAATCAGGAATCTTTAATGTTTAAGCAGATGAAGGTTATACCTTCATCATAAAGCTTTAATGATGGGATGTGTGTGATTACTACAAAAACAATCCATAGCACGCATAAAGGAATATGTGTTGGTTTAATACATAGTTTAGCAAGAATATATGTAAGAGAAACTTAAAGGGCAAATGCTTACGTTTTCTCACCTGTGGCAAGTGTAACTGAAGCCCCTCACTAGGAATAGGTTGGTGAGAAGGAGTCTGATCCAGATGCATATTAAACAAGGATGCAAGAGCTGACTGAGCTGCCCGAGCCTTTGCAAGTTTTTTGTTTCTTCCAGATCCTTGAAATGTGTGACCATCCACTGACACAGCCATCACAAAATTTTTAGCATGGCTTTCTCCACTCTCTGAAAGAAACTCATACTTTAACCCTGGTCTGAGCTCATTCAGTATCATAACTGGATTCTTCCCACTTGTTGATGGATACGGTGAAGGAGTTGGGAGAGAGGACTGGATAAGGTTACTAGCCAGAGTACAGGACAGGCTGTAATCTGTGCTAGAGCTAAAGGAACCATCTCCATTGGAATCCAAATAAAAAGAATGATCAGAGTGGGCTGGATTTTCAAAGCCATTGAAGAGTGTGTCCGGGAAATCTGCTTGGTCAGAGGTAAAGTCTGTATTGATTGACAAAGTTCTTCCCATGGCTAGGTGTGCTTCAGAAGCATTAGGAAATTGAACAAAAGACCTCAGAGCCTTCTCCGCTGCATGGAGCTTTGCTTTCTTTTTTGTTGGGCCAGAGCCTTCAAACATCTGCCCATTAACCTCTACTGCCATTACAAAAATAGGGGCATGAACAGGTCCTGTTTGGGAAATGAGCTTGTATTGTAAACCAGGCTTGATTTCATTCAGCTGCATGAGGGCATTCTTTGGCAAGACTGGCCCTGGCGTTTTCTTCCTCTTCTTGGGGCGGAATTTGGAGTGGCCATTGCTTCCCTCTTCCAATGGTCGTTTCCTGCTTCCTGTGCCACCACCATTGGAAAGCTGATTTCCCTCCCCGGTACCTTGTACACTCCCATCTTTAGAGGAAATGTTGTCCATGTTGCGGTTCTCTTTAACATCAGTGCTGCCTGAACCTGTGGTGCCCAGAAAGAGTAACTTACAATGCCTTCGTTGCAGGACCTTGTAAATGTAAAATTTACAAATTCCTTTATCTATCTTTGCAACTGGTTAAGTGATGTGTGCTTAGATTTTAATATTTGTATTACACATATTATTAATTACAAATTAAATAATCAAAACTTCTATTGATTAACTATTTAGACAGCAGAAACCTTTTTTTTCAATTCAGAATTGCTAACAGAATTCATATACTGCATAACAAATAGTAATATAAAAACAAGTAAGCCAGTTGCTAACAACATGCTGGCACCTCGAACACTGTTCCTTTAATATCCAGTTGCAGATTCAGCATTGGAATCCACAGGACAGACATCTATTCTGTTCCCAAGAAATGGTATTTTTCCCTTGGAAGATGTGGCCATCATAGTGAGACAGAGAGACAGCCAGCCTCCTAGTGTAAATATATATGTGCAAGCAAGAGAGGGACGTGGTGGCGCTGTGGGCTAAACCGCAGAAGCCTGTGCTGCAGGGTCAGAAGACCAAGCAGTCGTAAGATCGAATCCACGCGATGGAGTGAGTGCCCGTTGCTTGTCCCAGCTCCCGCCAACCTAGCGGTTCGAAAGCATGCAAATGCGAGTAGATAAATAGGTACCATCTCGGTGGGAAGGGAAACAGCGTTCCGTGTCTAAATCACACTGGCCATGTGACCACGGAAAGATTGTCTTCGGACAAACGCTGGCTCTATGGCTTGAAGAGCGGGATGAGCGCCGCCCCCTGGAGTCGGACACGACTGGACAGAGACTGTCAAGGGGAACCTTTACCTTTTAAGAGAGGTATTCACACAAAACATCCTTCCTATATTCATTACACCAATCAGTGGGGGGCAATGATGCTCCATAGCCCTATACCCAATGGTCATGTGTTTGAAGAAGGCTGTGTATATGCACATCCATTGGTTGTGCTCAGTCAGGATGCAATGTTTTACTGGACTTTTCTACAGCCCATGACTATTACAAAGGGCTGGTCATAAAATATACTGCCAGAAAAATGCACAGAGACTTCCTGAGATAAAGAGGAAACACAAAATTTAGGGAGGCATAGATAGTAGGTACAGTAAAAGACAGATAAGAGAATTGGGACAATTCATGTATATAATAGGTCATTATGATTCAGGAAACATACCTGAAACATAAATCAACATAATGGAAACATGAATCACTACCGCAGTATAGTAAGTTATAATGAAAATGAATTAAACATTAGAATTACAGGCATGGCTGGAAAACAGTGAAAATGGAAAAACAGCATCCAGACAATAATCAACAGAAGATATTTTTAACAACTAAAAGCAGAATTTTCCTGATAGTTTATTGTTTCTATTGTTGTTGTCAGTGTTGTTAACATTATTTTGATGTTGTGATTTGCAAATCATATCACCAAAATTCAAGTAACTGAACCATTAGGAATTTAAATAAACTGAAGCCACAAAAGTAACTTACTTGAAACACATGATAAACACATGGTTATTGAAGAAAATTTTAGACTAATTGATTCAGTAGAACTTGTCTTTCCCAGGGTCATACTTGCTTTCTGCTGCCCAACCAAAGATGGCAATTAAAAAGCAGAATCCTCTTAACACACACAATAAAGTGCATAAAGACATGTTCATTTATGCACTATAGTAAAAAGCAATACAATTGTCTACCATAATAAGTATGTCATTACAAATGTTTAAAAATATTTAGCTGATGGAAAGGCTACACGGAAAAACACAGAATGGCTAAATGGAATGGGGGAAATGGATTCACCACTAAGGACAAATGTCAAAAACACATAGGTAAGTCAAAGAACTAGAAAAAGGTGAAGCGGGAATTCTCACCAGGATATCTTCTGGGATATATCCCAGAAGCAGCTGGTGCCATCAGACACCAGGTGGGGTCAATGGTCAATGGTTAATGTTCTACTTCAAAGCTTGGTACAGGGAAATAGCTTCTCATTAAAGAGGTGGAATTCCCTTTCCCAATATAGTTCTGCATGATGTCTGATTATCAGAGCTACTGTAGAGTACCAATGTTCTGTTTGGAAAATAAAATTCTTAAACATCAACAAGATCACATGTAAAATCTCCAGTCTGGGGTTACTTCTTTCCTAGCAGAAGGATGTAGAGCTTGGAAAGTAGCTTTCAAAATGAATGAAGACATGCTGAAGCCATTCAAAGCTTAGCAGTAGTAGGATGATGCTCTGGGTCCTATACTCATTTGCAGATGGCTTCAGCATGTTATTATAATTATTCCTTTTAAATTAACTTTCCAGACTTTGGAGCATGAAACCCTGTCTTTCCAACGACTGGCTTATTCACTTGAGGGAGACGGGAGATACTTTTTTAGATTGCCTGTTTTCTTGTGGTCACTTTCTAGCTGATCACTGGGCCTGCAAACTCTGCTTTTGCAAAGCTTCAAAATGAGGAAGAAAAAGGAAGGTAATGCTTATCTGCCCTCATCTTGCAAAGGATTTGTGTGCCCTATTGTGTACATATGACTACATGTGACTACACAGTGAGGGAAATGGAAATTCACTCACATTCACTTATTGTGGAGTTGCTATGGGGAATTTGGATCTCCCTGGGTCTCTTTGCACTAATTGGCCATACAAGCAGAGAGGAGAACATTGTAGCTCTATTTATAGTCCTGCTGATGGTGCCATTACAAAGGAACTAGCTGATAAACTGTAAACAAGGGTTTCCTTCCTCAATTTCCTCATTATATATATATTTTAAAAAGATGATTCCTTGCCAATGGAGAGAGGCTGTGTGCTGGCATGGTGAATTTCCTGTAACAGTTCAAGCAATCGCATGCCTGAACTAATGTGAATGGAACTGTTTTTTAAAATCGCAGCAGAGGCGGAAACTTTTTTTAAAATTCAGGCTGATTTTCATTTTCTTTTGCATCATGTGGTCAAAGGAAAAAAATGTGCCCATCTCAGTCCTGGAGCATTTCCCACATTTTTTTACCAAAAAATTGAAAAGAAAGGAAAAGAAAAGAAAAGAAAGGAAGAGTGACATAGTAAAAGACATGATGTGCTTTAAGATAAGGCTTTTCTTGTGGAATCAAACTGCCTCATTCACATATTTTACAGCACATTCAGACACAACTTTCCAATATTTTCCCACTACTTTATCGGTCTTAACAGAAAAAAGAAAGCATTAAGGACAGCATAGCTGCACATTGCCATATCTCTGTAAACATCACTGGAAGTAAATTTTCTTTTAAAATACTATTTTGGGGGAAGCAGAAAAAAAATTTTTAGAGCAACAAAGCCCTTTTGGGTGTCAGGTGACTTAAGTTTCTGGCTGATGAGCCAGCGATTTGGAGTTTGATTCCCTGCTGTGTCCCCCAGAAGAGTCAGATTATGTAGCCTTGGGCAAGCTTTTCTCCAGCTGTCCTGAGAAAAAGGCAATGAGGAACCACATCTCCATACCTAGAAAACCTAGCTCCAAATAAACATACTGTTAAGTTTCTGTTTCTATTTCAAATGAACGATCTCCTCCCACACCACAGAACCATCTCACATAGTAGTGGTTCATCCATAAGGCCTAGTGGGACATTGCCCCACTGCAAGCTATCATGAGTAATTCACTCCTGCCACGCTCAAAGGCAAAAAGCTTATCTGAGATGTGTGTTTCCTTATTTATTTATTTGATTTCTATACTGCCCATCTGGCTACCAAGGCCACTCTGGGCAGTTTACAAATTCCACAACATTATCCCACTCAATAATCTGGCCGCTGTGTTCTAAACCTGCTGAAGTTTCCGTAACAGCCCCATGGGCAGAGAGCACTGCAGTTGTCTAATCTCGAGACTACCAATGCATGAACCAGTGTGGTGAGGGACCCAGTGTCAAGGTAAGGACGCAGCTGGGCAATCCACCTTAGGTGGAAGTAGGCAGAGCGGACCACAGACTCCATTGATAGTGCTGGGTCCAGGAGTATGCCCAAGCTTTGAAACTCATCCTTAGTGGAAAGAGTGCCCCCCAAAGGAGAGGGAAGTACCAAGACTGCAAACACTAGGGGTATCCACCCACAGGACTTCTGTCTTGGATGGGTTCAGCCTCCATCTATTCTCGCTCATCCACCCCAGCACGACATCCAGGCTTGAGTGCTTCAAGGAATGGGACGACATCCACTGCATAAGGATGGAAGGAGAGATAGAGCTGGGTGTCATCCGCATATTGGTGACATAAAGTTCTGAAACTCCTGATGACTTCCCCCAGGGGCCTCATACAGATATTAAACAGCAGTGATCGACCCCTGTGGGACTCCACAATTGAGAGTCCAAGGGGTGAACAACATCTCCCCAAGCTGTACTCTCTGGGGATAGTCCTCTAGGAAGAACTGGATCCAGGCCAAAGCCAGGCCACTGATCCCCAGCCCAGAGAGCTTCCCCAGGAGGATACCGTGCTTGACAGTATCAAAGGCCACTGAAAGATCTAGGGAGACCAACAAGACCATTTTGCCCTTATCAGCCTCCCTCAAATGGTCATCTCGCAGGGCAACCAATGCCGTCTCCATGCCATGACGTGGCTTGAATCCAGACTGGAATGGATCGAGAGCAGTGAAGCTGGCTGGCCACTACTCTCTCCACTAGCTTGTATGTGTGAATGCTTGCCTGTCTGTGTGTAAGAGAGAGCATGACTCTGTGAGGATGGTTATAATGAACACCTGCTTTTGCTCCTAGCTCTGCCCAGCACAAATTATTATGCTTTCTATCTCACCAACCACAATGGTTGTTGGCTAAATGGATCTAACTTTAGCTGCAAAACAAAAAGGAGCAGGACAGAGAGAATGCAGAGAAACACAACCTCAAGGGCATATTCCTGATCTCAAGGGCTATTATATTTTGTTTTATTATATGCATAGAGAATTCCTTGAAATGATATATGCTACCTTAGAGTAGGAATGTACATATGTTTTTAAAGCTTTGTGGTGCAGTGGTTAAACTGCAGAATTGAGTTCAGTC